ACCCAATTAAACTGTCTTATACTACACTAATATCCAAGGATGATTCTTTTTTTTTTTTGGCTTAGGAAGAAACTAAAAGTACTACCCACTAAATTACAAGAGAGGAATGAATAATAACTTTCTAAATCAACAAGAAAGAAATCTTTTTGCTAAAAAAAATAAAGTGGAAATATTTAAACAACTAAAAAAAATATAAGTGAAGTATGGAGTTCCAATGAATTAAATGAGCATAGCAAAGATCTATGATAAAACAAAGAAGGGAATGCGAAGAATTATAATTAATGAACCCTAGACGAATATGTAAATGTGTGCTTTAGGTTTTTTGGGGGATAAAAAAATCTTGTATTGCTCGATGCATACACTATTTTCCTATAATGCATGATGCTTGTTCTTGATACACTAAAGGTGAAACTATTCTGATATGATGATACAAAACATGCATGGGGTTGGTTAATGTGAAGACTAAGCTAGTATTACATGTCAACAACTTTATTACAATCAAAATGACTTAGGTGTTCTAGGGGATACTAAACCGTGATACCTATTCCTATCAAATGATGTTCCCTTGGGAAGTAAGATGCATCTGACATCGATGAAGGCTGACACATTAAGAGATAAGAAGAAATTAAAATATGCAACTAAGTGATAATTGATAAATGGTGTAATGACCAAAACTATGAAGCGAATAATTAAAATGGTGGGGCTGAGAACTCATATGACTTTAACTACATGATTACAATACCTGAATATGGATATAAATGATGTGCAACCTACCCCTGGTGTCGACCTGGCGACCTGCTTCTAGCGCCGACTTGGCAGCCTGCCCCTAGTGCCGACCTAGTGACATAGCGACATGTCCTTGTTGCCGACCTGGCGACCTGCCTCCACCGCCAACTTGGCGACCTGGCGACCTACAAGACGTGCTCGTCATTGATTTCTGCATGCATCCCATCACTCCCGGGTCTCTCGGAAGTCAGCTCTCACACCGAATGTTTTGGGAGAAATCGAGTAAGGCGCAACGATTGGCCTGCGTGCACGACTACCTCCACGGACTTCGAAGCAGTTAGGCACATCCTCCCGGAGATCCCGAACGTGTTACGTATTGCATGATGCTCATCCAAACAAGGCCTATATAAAGGCCTTACATCCAACTCCAGGGGGTAAATGCGCAATTCGTAACTCTCCAGCTCTCTCACATTTAGCTATCTTAAAATCTCTTATTCGCTAACTTAAGCATCAGAGTGCCCACCCCGGGTAAAGCAACCCGGGCACTCTGACACTGTGTCCTTGCAAGTCGCATCAAAGCCACCTCTCCAGCTCATCACCATTCAACTAGGCAACAAAGCCATCTCTCTAGCTCGTCACCACTCAATTAGGCATCAGAGCCACCTTCCAGGTAGGAACCATTCAGCTAAGCATCCAAGCCACATTCCAGGTAGGAATTATTCAGCCAAGCATCCGAGTCACCTGTCAGCCTGGGAGCTGCCAAAATGCGCATCATCAATTGGCGTCGTCTATGGGATACACTACAAAAGCCTATTTTCTCACCCGATTCTCTGAGCCTCAAATAATAGCATCTTCAAGCAACAACAATAGCACTCGATCGAAAGAACCCCCTAGGGGGGTAGAAGCAAAATGATTAGCCCAGACACGTTCTCATAGTCTTTCCCTGACAGAATCTCCCTAACTATGAGGCCACCCCCATATGTCGAGCTCTACGTGCTCTCTGCGAGAGTTGACAACCAATAGAATGTGAGGCCACCCCACAGGTTGAGCCCTCCGTTGTTCCCGTGGGAGTTGATAGCCAACAAACTATGAGTTCGTGCCGCAAATCGAGCCCTCCATGCTTTACATGGGAGTTGATGGCCGACAGGTTGTGGAGCCGCTCTCGCAAGTCAGTCCTGCCGAGGTGACGAGGTGTTTGTAGGCTGGGGTGCTGAGAGCAAAACTAGAATGTCAAAATTCTGACAACTTGGCAACCTAGAGACTTGCCTCTAAATTGGCGACATGCTTCCGCCAACCTGGCGACACGTAATCAGCCTGGACGAGCCTTGTCAGCCCTATTTGCAAGGTCACCCCTACAGGTCGAGCCCTTTGTGGCTCCCGCAGGAGTTGGCAGCCAACATACTACAATCGCACTTGTGGGTTGAGCCTTTCAAGGTTCCCACGCGAGCTGGCAACTTGCAGTTTATAAATCTGCCCCCGCAGGTTGAGATCCTTGTGGCTTATCGTAGGAATAGACGACCAGCACCTTAAAAGACTGATACAGCACAACCGTGGCACCGACCCGCTATTTAAATTCCAACATCAATGCACATATCACAAGGGGAAGCCAAACTGCCTTCAGCATCAAGGACCCCTAAGTCGACCTCAAAATATGTTGGTAACAGGCCTAAGGACCTACAACGAAGTACAAATCTACTCCCTACGCTGAGTTGAACTCAACTCGGGAGTGGGGGGCAATTGATGAGGGCAGATTTGGCCCTCTACTAACATCATGACACATGGCATCTCGAAACAACTAGGTGACACCCAGAACCACCTAGGCGACAACTTGCCTTAGACAAAATCGTGGAGTCCCAGCTAGCAACCTGGCAATGTCGCCGACCTAGCAACCTGCCCCTAGTGTCGACCTGGCAACCTGCCCCTGGTGTCGACCTGGCGACCTACCTCTAGCGCTGACCTAGTGCCGACCTGGCAACCTGCCTCTAGCGCCAACCTGGCGACCTACCCCTAGCGCCAACCTGGCGACCTGCCCCTGGTGCCGACCTGGTGACCTAGCGTCATGCCCCTGTTGCCGACCTGGCGACCTGCCTCCACTGCCGACTTGGCGACCTACATCTAGTGCCGACCTGGCGACCTACGAGACGTGCTCTCCCTCGATTTCTGCATACATCCCATCTCTCGGGTCTCTCGGAAATCGGCTCTCGCACCGAATGTTTTGGGAGAAACCGAGTAAGGCGCAAAGATTGGCCTACGTGCACGACTACCTTCGAAGACTTCGGAGCAATTAGGCACGCCCTCCCGGAGATCCCGAACATGTTGTGTGATTCTTACGCTAAACAATGCCTATATAAAGGCCTTACCTCCAACTCTAGGGGGTAGATGTGCAATTTAGTTCTCACAACTCTCCAGCTCTCTCACATTTAGCTATCTTAAAATCTTTGATTCGCCAACTTAAGCATCGGAATGCCCACCCCGAGTAAAGCAACCCAGGCACTCTGACATTGTCCTTGCAGATCGCATCAGAGCCACCTCTCCAGCTCATCACCATTCAGTTAGGCAACAAAACCATCTCTCCAGCTCGTCACCACTTAGGCGTCAGAGCCACCTTACAGGTAGGAACAATTCAACTAGGCATCCAAGCCACATTCCAAGTAGGAATTATTCAGCCAGGCATTCAAGTCACTTGCCAGCCGAGGAGCTGCCAAAATGCGCATCATCAATTCCAAAATGGGTGTTGAATAAAAGAATGAATGGACTTGATTTCCATTCTAATCAAATAACAATAAAAGAATGTTGTATATGTTAAGTGAAATAAAATAGGAAACTAGCAAAGATAAGACAACTAAAGGCATCAAAATGAGAGCATGTACTATCCAAATAGGAAAATAACTACCGTGTCACTGTCAAGGGAACTAAATCACTACCACTACGAAAAAAGCTAAGAGATGCAAAATGCTATCAAATAATACCGATAGCAACTACTAGCAACAATGAGAGAATCAAACAAATGGATCCTAATTAGTGAACTTACCTTGAATATTATCTGAAAGAAAAAGATATACAGTTTAGCAGTTGATAAGTTTGGCCCAAGGAAAGTAAAAAATGCTTTTCATGTAGCCCAAGGAATGAGAAAATGATGATGGAAGCTTGTATACTCTTATATATGTTGCACTGTTGTTGTTTCAGGAATACTTTCAGTTTCGTCTCTTTGATGTGTACACAACCAAGGGGGTTTCTTGAATCCAAACTGATATGTGACTTTAGGGACATGTAAAGATGATTCTCATGCTGTGTAAAGAATTGAGTTTCCTCTCTTTGGTGGAAGTCTGGTGTCATCATTCAAGGAATTGAGTTTAGGCCTAAACAGACACTACAAGAAAAACAGTTTGGACCGCCGGCTTAGATCTAAGGCGGCCGTCATAGGTCCATCGTCTAAGTAGCTGCCGACCTAGATCAAGACCGCTGCCTTTGGTGGCCGGTTCGGGGCAGTCCAAATTTCATTAACGCGGCGGTATGTCAAGACCGCCAACTTAATGTCATTAAAGGCAGCGTTTTTAATCGCCAGCTTAGGTTTTGTCAAAAATTGTTGGTTTCCTTAGGCGGCAGTTCGGACCGTCGATTTTGATCCTAATTGAGCGCCACCTTTCGTTTAGTCCAACAATGTAAAATAATTCAAATAATGAACCCAATCTACCCATTTAAAAGTGGTGCTATCTGTATCCTTGTGCTTATATGACCCTATTTACATATTTCACTATCATCAATAGAAGTTTACCAGTTGCCAATATAAAAAAGCTTATGTGATGTCAACAAACTGGTGTTCATGGAGTTTTTTTTCTATTTCACCACTCTTTCTTTAATATTTCAGATATGAAATCCTTCTATTTCCCCTATATCAAGATTGAATCATTTTCTTCTTTACAATAGAACCTATACCCTATAGGGACTTTTCTCCTTCACAACCTACACCACAAGTCTATCTTTTTTTTTCATGTACCCAATGAAGTATATACAGCCAGAAGGGCACCTCGGAAAAGAGCTCTTCACAATGAAGCATATTTACCAAAATGACCTCAAGATGAATGTATAAGATGAGAATACAGAACCTGAAGACACCTTTTCGATAAATGAAAGAAAATCTACAAAATTAAAGAAATTGAATCTACCAAAAAAAAACTTAAGAGGTATGTGGGTAACAAACCTGGAGAGTGAGACACAGCAGCTCTCCAAGTCTCTTCAATGTGATCCTAGAGTAATATTTTGACACGA